CAAATTTTAAATAAATGGTAATAATTTGTCATAAATGCCAAAAAATTAAATACAATCAAAAAATCGTTACAATAATCAGTAAACATAAACAATAATTATATCTCGCGAACTTGAGACGGGAAATAACAAAACGTGAATTAAACTTGTTCATATTATGATTATATACTTATTGAAATTATTTTCGAATCCGTCTTTATAACATAATAATTAAATTTACATTTAAATTGATAATTGTTTTTTTATCAAAATGAAAATTGAAAAAGTCGAAAACACTGATTTTCAAAAAAATGTAATTTTAAAATAACAAATTTATAAATAATTTTGTAATTTATGCAATTATTCAAATTTATTATAATAACAAAGTTAATCATATTGTGTATATTTTGATATGATTGTTTCATTTTGATATTAACTTGTGTTTTAAACAGATTTACAGTTCTGAGGATGGCAATTATTTTCTGAGGATGACAGAAATAGAAAGTTTACACTTTTACATCTGTCTGAAATGTGTATTGAGTAAGTTACTATTTTTGAACATGGGAACACGTCATTTCACTTCTTAGATGTTTAAATCTGTGTTGACAATGTTTGTTTGTTACACGACTTACCATCCTCAGAGATATTTATAGCACTGCCATTATTGATTTAAAATTCTATAAATAAAATTCTCAAAGAATTTATAAAGTGAGTTTTGATAATTGATTATATCAAAAATCGTCAAAACACAACAAAAACGCCAATTAATATATACAATTGATAAATAAATTGAACACATTTTTATTGAGGATTGATATTGTATAAAAAATAATATAAACATATATTTCTTGTGTATATATGTTTTGAAATATAAATAAAACCGTTTAAAACAAAAATAATTTTAAAAATTTGTTCATTTATCAATCGTTGTTTTATCGATATCCAAAACCTCTCTTTTTGAATTTGCGCAAATACATATATTGTCATCGCATAGAGTATTAATTATTAATACGTAGTTTGCTATCATTTTTTATTGTTTGAAATATCATGAATTGATTTATAATAAATTGTATTTTTTGAAAAAAAGATTAAAAATTGTTAGATTAATTTTTTTGTGATTTTGATTAAAAAATCGACTTTTTCGATAATTTAAATGTTTGTCAAATGTTTTCATTTAAAC